TGTAAATGTCTATTCCTAACTTGAACGGGATGATTTGGTCTGTATATGTTCATGCATACTTTGAACGGGATGATTTGGCCTGTATATGTACATGCATACCTTGAACGGGATGATTTGGCCTGTAAATGTCTATTCCTAACTTGAACGGGATGATTTGGTCTGTATATGTTCATGCATACTTTGAACGGGATGATTTGGCCTGTAAATGTACATGCATACCTTGAACGGGATGATTTGGCCTGTAAATGTACATGCATACCTTGAACGGGATGATTTGGCCTGTAAATGTACATGCATACTTTTAATGGGATGATTTGTCCTGTATATGTACAAGCATACTTTGAACGGGATGATTTTGCCTGTATATGCACATGCATACCTTGAACGGGATGATTTGGCCTGTATATGTACATGCATACTTTGAACGGGATGATTTGGCCTGTAAATGTCTATTCCTAACTTGAACGGGATGATTTGGTCAGTATATGCACATTCATTCTTTGAACGGGATGATTTGGCCTGTATTTGTACATGCGTACCTTGAACGCGATGATTTGGCCTGTATATGTTCATGCATACCTTGAACGGGATGATTTGGTCTGAAAATGCACATGCATACTTTGAACGGGATGATTTGGCCTGTATATGTTCATGCATACCTTGAACGGGATGATTTGGTCAGTATATGTACATGCATACCTTGGACGGGATGATTTGGCCTGTATATGTTCATGCATACCTTGAACGGGATGATTTGGTCTGTATATGCACATGCATACTTTGAACGGGATGATTTGGCCTGTATATGTTCATGCATACCTTGAACGGGATGATTTGGTCTATATATGCACATGCATACCTTGAACGGGATGATTTGGTCAGTATATGCACATGCATTCTTTGAACGGGATGATTTGGCCTGTATATGCACATGCATTCTTTGAACGGGATGATTTGGCCTGTAAATGTACATGCATACCTTGAACGGGATTATTTGGCCTGTATATGCACATGCATACCTTGAACAGGATGATTTGGCCTGTATATGTACATGCATACTTTGAATGGGATGATTTGGCCTGTAAATGTCTATTCCTAACTTGAACGGGATGATTTGGTCAGTATATGCACATTCATTCTTTGAACGGGATGATTTGGCCTGTATTTGTACATGCATACCTTGAACGGGATGATTTGGCCTGTATATGTTCATGCATACCTTGAACGGGATGATTTGGTCTGTATATGCACATGCATACTTTGAACGGGATGATTTGGCCTGTATATGTTCATGCATACCTTGAACGGGATGATTTGGTCTGTATATGCACATGCATACCTTGAACGGGATGATTTGGTCAGTATATGCACATGCATTCTTTGAACGGGATGATTTGGCCTGTATATGCACATGCATTCTTTGAACGGGATGATTTGGCCTGCATATGTACATGCATACCTTGAACGGGATGATTTGGTCTGTATATGCACATGCATACTTTGAACGGGATGATTTGGCCTGTATATGTTCATGCATACCTTAAACGGTGATATTTGGCTTGTTTATGTTCATGTAAACTTTAAACGGGATGATTTGGCCTGTATACGTACATGCATTCTTTGAACGGGGTGATTTGGTCTGAATACATACATAAATATATCGTTTTTTCATGTGCAGTCATGCATTCATTGAACGTGTATTTTTTAACTATACGTGTACATGCATACATTCAATGGCGCATTTGTGGACTGTATAAGTACACGCATACATTAAACGGATTTTGATCTGTCTATGTACCTGGATATACTGAGCAGGTTTTGGCCTGTACAAGTACATGCACACATTGACCGAGGCACGTCAAAATGTAGGCTTTATTAGAAGCGCCCCATAAATACGAAAACAGAACGACATTATATTTCATTATCGGAGTTCCGAGCGCTCGCGGTTTTTTTCGTGTCCTGAAGCCTCGGTAGACAGCTGTGTTGATAATTATCATAGAATAACATGTGCAATATGGCTATGGTCAACCATGCGAAACTGGGTGATGTATAACAGATGCGTTATTCAGTTGAGACAGGCAAACTGCAATGGTGTAAAATACCTGCAGTATATTAACTATTAACATGCAATAGTCTATTTTATTTTGTAGTAAAATCATTGTTTTTAGTGTAGTTTCTTCAATAAAGAGTATTTCAGGAACATACTTTTATCACTTATCATTATATATTTGGTTATCATTACTAAAGTAATATTTTAGGGAACTATAGCTACATGTATACCATTTTTCACAGTTGAAATGCGACCACAGACTGTGTTATATAGCGCTTAACATACTCAGCCTCATTGATTGTATTGACCAGCTGTACCTATCTCGATGTCACTGTTTACATGCACTGGAATATCCATTCACGTACGCGGAGAGTAGCGAATGTGTTACGCCGCGCAGCGTTAAAAACTTTAAGGGGCGGTCGGGTAGCCTAGTGGTTAAAGCGTTCGGTCGTCACGCCGAAGACCCGGGTTCGATTCCCGACATGGGGACAATGTGTGAAGCCCATTTCTGGTGTCCCCCGCCGTGATATTGCTGTAATATTGCTAAAAGCGGCGTAAACCTCACTCACTCATAAACCTTAAAACGTAGACAGGCTCTTTTTGTATTTGCGTTGCATCACGTTTGAAAGTACAACGACCGACTGTTTTTTTGTTTTTATTCTACAGATGTTTAAGATCAATGTTAGATTTCCCGCTTGTTTTATCCAGATGTCGTCCTACAATTGGAAAAAATGTAATTGAAATGTGGGGCAAAAGAAAGTATACCAAGTTTGTTTTAATTGAAAATTATAAAGAACTGTTGTTAAATTTGATTATGTCTGTTAAAAAAATCATATATTTCTGCAACAATTTTGTAAAAAGTAATGTTGTAATGAAATAGAAAGAAATGAATTTGCAGCCACTTGACCTCTACCAAGTCTGAACAGTTACTGATTTTTAATGATAAGATGTCTAAGATACCCGCGTATTATGCGAATTGTATTTATAGTTTTTCAAACTTTTATATTTTTTTTTAAAAAACCATGACAAAATACATGTATTCTTTGAGTGCTGACTAAGCACCAGTACAGTTAATTATTTTTGATATAATAATATAATTAACTTAAGATTTTTAAATTGAAAATCAAACATTTCATCAAATCAACTGCTAGGTATAGTTTCCTATGCCCCTTAGTTAATATTATTTTGCAATTTGTCTTCCAAATAGAAGAAGGGACACGTTCTTAGTGTGAAAATTATTTGCGATCACATATAAAACAAACTATAATAATTCGGTTTATGTTCAACTCTGGCACTTTCCTTGTAAAACTATAACCGGACGTCCTTTTTTCAATTACTGTAGACGCTTTTATAGCAACGAACATCGCATATGGGTCCAAATCCAAGGTCACCTTGACAGTATACTACTTGCGCAAACGTTTGACATTTGTCTATAACACTGAATGTGCACTGGCGCACATTAACGCTGTTGTGATTCACTTGTTGAAATCCATCTTCCGCCTGTATACATGAGCCATGTGTACCATGTTAGCGTCTATCGATCTATTTAAAAGAATGACATAAATATTTGAACACTCGGATAAGCTTAAGTTTTCTATTAAATATCCCCAAATAGACCAAAAACTAATCTTTCTGTGGACAGTGGACTCGCGGAGGCTATTGTTCAAAGGTGTTTGTTCTTGCGTCAGAGATGAATTTTTGAGCAGCTGCCAACAAAGCTAATCGTGAATACATCTTAATACGGCTTACGCTCAACATCAATTGTCTCTGTGACCTTCTTCGACTATAATCCACACCTCTATACTGGGAAACCTTGTTAATCGGACAGTATCAGCGCTTATATAACCGTCCGTATTAAGGAAATGTCAAAATAACAAATCATTACATGGAACATTGTCCATATGTGTGTCTAAAAGACATTGGGGTATTTGTTTCAGGATATTATTTCGATTAATGTTTCAAAACAGTTTTTTTTCTGTGTAGAGGAGCTGAATACTTTAGTGTTTTTTCCCATAAAACGAACATATCAAGGGGTATGATATGAGGAACCAGTTATTTCTGGAACAAATGCTTTTGGCACAAACTCCTTGCTCCCTCCAACCCCATCCTCACAAATATCAAATAGTTAAATATACCCAACAGTAAAACACCTTGAGATTAACGAGATCCCGACTATCGGGTGACACTGCAAATGATTTTTTTCAATATCGGGCTTAAAGGAACGTTTTGTGACCTGTCCGTTTGATGTGCCGTGCTCTTTCTGGGTGGTACCTGAACTCAGTTCTGACTTCAATGATATAGATGTTATGGAAAAAGGTCAAATGCCTTGAACGCCAACTCATTTACGTAATGCCGAGCTATCTCGTAATATGGCAGTCACAAATAACAAAATGATAAGGATGATTTAGTAAAGGTTAGGGATACGGAATTTACGATTGAGGAATCACGGTTTATGAACCATCTTCCATGAATAATGAATTGACCTTTTAACATCTGAAAATAGAATACAAGTTCATGATTAAATATGTCAAAATATATAGCGTTTCATATGACTGTTATCACCACGATAACAGAAATGGTGAAGCATGATTTGAAAACAACACAGCGGTTACCGATGATATAGCCTAAACAAGATGTCCCGACACACAGGTGGTAGAATTTGCTTCAACGTGAGAAACTTCAACGTTTATGTACATTTCAGTTTAATATACAATGAACACAATAATTGAAATAAATACATAGTTGACTCTCCTCATTTTCACTACCGCATCAATATATACAAAACTAATTATCCTAAATTAAATAAATTAACATTGCGCACTTCATGCAAGAGGTACAGTCGTCATAAGATAATGCAATTTCTAAATATCGATAAAACATGAATGGAAAGTAATGATTCACCTTCCATCGAAGCAGCATTGCGTATGCGTAAAATTCCAACCTTTTCCCCATAGAGTGTTGTTGAATACTACAGTTTTTTAACTAATCCCCAAGGGAGCAAAAGGGAAATGTTTGCCAATTCTTCTGTTTTAAAACGTTCTTGAATTTGACTTGCTGCCTTGTTGGCCTGTAAGATTGGCACGACGATATGTCGATGCAGTGGTTCGTCGACACGCAGCTCTCACAATGGCAGCCGGTCTGGACCCGTTGGAGGAGAGGACGCACTGTATATATATACTTGCTACGTTAGGCTAGTGATCAATGTCGGATCTCGCTAACACCGCTGCCACATATGTGAGCGCTGCTGTGTATATTTAAGTGTATCCACGCACTAGAATTAAACGAGTGTAGTAAACGCTGGAACACTGGTCATTAGTGAAGGACGATCAGGCGGATTGGGAAGCACATGGTTAACGCGTTTACCCTGAAAATACAGGTTTGCTTGTGTTAAGTGTGGAAAAGTGTGCTCGGCGCGAGGCTAGGGCAGTTATCAGTGAGTCAAGCCATCTCACGATACTGCATTGAAATACATCAACCAAGTGGAACTGGGCAACAAGATGCGTAGTGGCGAATTCTTGTGAACAACGAGCGGTAGGGGTGTTGACGCCGTTTCTTCTATATTTCATTCTGATGGAGCCGGATGTCGAAAGAAGAGACAGTTAAATGCGGGAATTGGTTTCAAAAGGTGAATATTACTTTTGGCCAGCTAAACATGTTAGTTCTTGTGAAAACGGCACAGGGATATCCTATAGCCTATCCTGAGGCCAAGCTTCGAGTCGTTGGAAAATCGATCGATACTTGGAGAGTCGGACGGCACAGTGTTATGGCCGTTAGCAGCAGACGATAAATTTGGCGGTCGTCTGCTTGCAAAGGGGAGAAGGAACAGAGGGTTGATGATTTAGAGATTGAAGAAATTTTGGAAGGAAAAATGCAGCCATGGCGGTTGTTAGCATGTTCAACCAGGCTCCGTATCGCCGCGCACACAGCAGTAGAGAAAGACTGAATGTTGATAACGATGGCGGGGACTTGTGGATAAGCCAAAGTGGCGAGAGACATAACAATAATCACAGTTTAGAATATAAATTGAGAAGCAAAGGTGGAGCTTCCTCTCGATGTGGGCCTCACTTGGCTTCGAATCATACCTGCAATATCAAAACTTGTGATAGAATCTCTATCAATGTCAGTGGACAGTACTTCGAAACTTGGCGAGGGACTTTGGAAAAACATCCTTCGACTCTTCTCGGTGACCCTCGAAAAAGACAGAAGTTTTATGACAAAAGAAGAAATGAGTACTTCTTTGATCGACATAGACCAGCATTTGAAGCCATCTTTAATTATTATCAGTACGGGGGTAGGCTGAACCGACCTGAACCGGTACCGGATGATATTTTCCTCACGGAGTTGGAATTCTTTGAGATTGAGAAAGACATGATTGATGAATACCGGAGGGAAGAAGGCTATATGACGGAAAAGATAGTCCTTCCAGAACGCGGGTGGCAACGGAAGATATGGATGGTCATGGAATACCCGGAAACATCCTGTATAGCCTATGCCGTGGCAATAATATCCGTTGTTATTACCCTTCTTTCAATTGTGCTCTTCTGCGTGGAAACACTACCGGTATTCTCTACCAACCATTGCTCTGCCGAAGGTAACCCTAATTTCTTGGATCCATTCTTTGTTCTCGAGTCCATTTGTACTGCATGGTTCACGGTGGAGGTCCTTATTCGGATCGTCGTGTGTCCAAATAAACCTCAGTTCTTCAAAGACTTCAAGAACCTTGTTGATTGTACCGCAATCATTCCCTATTATGTCACTCTTTCAAATGTGCTCACCAGTATGAGTTGCGAAGACGCCAAATCCAGTTCCTCTCTATCTTTCCTCCGCGTTATACGGTTGGTAAGAGTTTTCAAGCTAACCAAACACTCCGCCGGTCTACAGGTGCTTATTTTAACATTCAGGGCGAGTTTACAAGGGTTGTGCCTGTTTCTTGTAGCGATTGTGGTGTGTATACTGCTCTTTTCAAGTGCTATATACTTCGCGGAGATGGGTATAGAAGGCTCCCATATTCACAGTATTCCGGACGGGTTCTGGTGGGCTATCATTACTATGACAACAGTCGGATACGGAGACAAATACCCACTGGGACCCGTGGGAAAAATAATAGGATCGATCTGTGCCCTCGCGGGAGTGTTGACTCTTGCCATCCCCGTACCAATAATTACTGAGAATTTCAACAAATTTTATGCACATAAGACTGGAAGAGGTAGAGTATAGTGCGCGCACCTTTCCCCCTTCTTCAACCTTCTGCGTTTTTTTATTTGTTTAGATAATAACGTAGTGATCTCATCTTAGAGGATATACGGTTTTACTCTCGCTTTGGAGCCACGAGCCACTGATATTTGTATCCTTGCTGTTGAGGAGATACTTGGACTGCATGACGAGGAGTGTACCTTTTTCTCTACATTTTAAAAGTTGTTTTCCCTTTATTGCCGCACCGTATGTGTATATGCGGGATTTGCGAGTGTCTTGATCTATTTATTGTAGTTTCTTGGAAGATTTACACGATTCGAAAGTGTCTTATATACGGAGTATTTGAGTCTATGCAACACGTTATTCAGGTGGGTAGTTTATTGTTACGATGTTGCCGTGCAGCATCGCTCCTATTGTTGATAACTCTCGTGTTAACATTTTCAAATGAGATTTTTCTTTGAACGTTGCAACCAACATGATGTGGTCACCATGATGGTCCTTCAAAGGCCCTACCGGTCTACCTATCTGTCCAAAATACTATCTCTGTTGTTATCTTAGAACTAAGATAGTGTTTTGGACCAGGCTGCTCTCGCTCTGTTTTGACACCAACCTTTCTCTTCATGTAACAACGATAACCTGAATAATCCAACTGTCTGTAAGCACATCACAATGCAAATACCAGCTGACGTTGCATGTCCTCTGAAACTAGGCATCTGTATCTTACGAAACAGATGACATTATAATCTCCAAATATTGTTTCCTTGTATCATAATGGCAATGTAATTACAAATATTTTGGGATATATTTTGCACGCATAATTATATTTGATCTTAATTAGTTAAAATTATCAAACTAAATTAATACACAGTTTAGGACCTTTACTGCCCTTAAAAGAATACATGCTGTTATTTGCAATGTATGTCATCCATTCTAGAACCTATGGCCCAATGAATTCATGGGAACCACATCGTGTAGCGTGATAGTCATGCCGATTTCAATATAGCATGTGTGCCTAGCCTGTTCATTTCAACACATGTGAGGGTGTCGATTTCAGCATGAAACACAGGACCCTGTCACGTGACATGTACATGCAGTTTGAATGGAGTCAACCAATTACTGTATAAACCTTTACATCATTGATGTTGACTGCAACATTTGGATGTTGATTGCAACGGTTGTGATGTTGATTGCAGCGTCTAGGGTGTTGATTTCAACGTCTGCGATGTTGATTTCAACGTCTAGGGTGTTGATTTCAACGTCTGCGATGTTGATTGCAGCGTCTAGGGTGTTGATTTCAACGTCTGCGATGTTGATTGCAGCTTCTAGGATGTTGATTTCAACGTCTGCGATGTTGATTGAAGCATCTAGGATGTTGATGTCAACGTCAATGATGTTGTTTGCAACGTCTGTGGTGTTGACTGCAACGTTTGTGATGTTGATTGCAACGACTATAATGTTTTCTGTGACATACTTGATCTTCCAGCTTTTACTGCACAGATTATGTGCATGACAGATTCAGCACAATTTACTCTTTTTATTACACGAGTCAAATAAGATTTGTGCCAAAGAGAATGTCCAAGTCTTGTGGATAGTTTGGCTGACGGATTGAAAGAAACCTTTTTCTCAACCTTTATGCAACCAATTTAGTTGTTTTTCACCATGTCACCAACCAACGGAATAAATTCATTTTCATGCCACATCCTTCTAGTCCGGCTTTCTGAATCCTGATAAGTCTTGTTGAAGTAAACAAATTTGGTGATTTTCAGTTTAGTTAATACTTATGTACGAGTGTCGGATTTTAACCCGATTGCACTGACATTCATTCGCAAGAAATTTGACCCAATATACGATCAATGTTCATATTTAAAATCCATTGACAAAACGTGTTGCCTACCACATGCTATGCAAATCTTAGCAGCGATAGTAAATGACAAACGTTAATTGTCAAACAGCATTTTTATGGGATTTGCTTGATCAAAGGTGCGTTGATAATATAAAAGCCATGTAAATGTTTGAACAAGTATTTTATATGACTACACAGAACCTACAACGCTCATGTGCTTTGAGTGTTTGATAAATATGTTTCCACATTCTTGGTTTTATCACTACCCGTTTCACTCAGGCGTTACTGCTAAGCTCTGGTTACTATGGTGACTGACAAAATAACGAAGCAGACTTGATTAGATCAGGGTACATCAATCACAAGCTATCTATACCACAGGATCCAGATCACCATACCCTGGTGTATTGGTGATGTCTTCCTCGACGTCACCCGTCACACCTACAGCTACCTACATCAACCGCTGCCTGTTGTTACTGTTGTCGGGACGTTGCGATGAACCAACACCTCCTATCTGCATCGCTACGGTCTATGACACATCCTATTTCACTGCTGCTGACGTTCAATTGTTAAAATGCTGCCTCTCTCTGCTGCTACTGCTGCATATTACAACTGCAGTTCCTGCATATTCCTGCTACTACCACTATATATCGCCGCTTCTCCTAGTATGTATTACTACCACTTCATATTCCTGTCCTTGCTGCTGCATATTCCTGCTACTACCACCATACATTACATCTGCTGCTGCATATTCCTGCTACTGCCATATATTACCTCTACTGCTGCTTCTGCATAGTCCTGCTACTACCATACATTACCTCTACTGCTGCATATTCCTGCTACTACTACCATACATTACCTCTGCTGCTGCTGCATATTCCTGCTACTACCATACATTACCTCTCCTGCTGCATATTCCTGCTACTACCACCATACATTACCTCTGCTGCTGCATATTCCTGCTACTGCCATATATTACCTCTGCTGCTGCTTCTGCATAGTCCTGCTACTACCATACATTACCTCTACTGCTGCATATTCCTGCTACTACTACCATACATTACCTCTGCTGCTGCTGCATAGTCCTGCTACTACCATACATTACCTCTCCTGCTGCATATTCCTGCTACTACTACCATACATTACCTCTGATGCTGCTGCATATTCCTGCTACTACCACCATACATTACCTCTGCTGCTGCATATTCCTGCTACTGCCATATATTACCTCTGCTGCTGCTTCTGCATAGTCCTGCTACTACCATACATTACCTCTCCTGCTGCATATTCCTGCTACTACTACCATACATTACCTCTGCTGCTGCTGCATAGTCCTGCTACTACCATACATTACCTCTCCTGCTGCATATTCCTGCTACTACTACCATACATTACCTCTGCTGCTGCTCCATATTCCTGCTACTACCACCATACATTACCTCTGCTGCTGCATATTCCTGCTAATACTACCATACATTACCTCTGCTGTTGCATATTCCTGCTACTGCTACCATACATTACCTCTGCTACTGCTGCATAGTCCTGCTACTACCATACATTACCTCTGCTGATGTTGCATATTCCTGCTTCTACTACCATACATTACCTCTGCTGCTGTTGCATATTCCTGCTACTACCATACATTACCTCTGCTGCTGCTGCATATTCCTGCTACTACCACACATTACCTCTGCTGCTGCTGCATATTCCTGCTACTACCATACATTACCTCTGCTGCTGCTGCATATTCCTGCTACTACCACACATTACCTCTGCTGCTGCTGGATATTCCTGCTACTACCATACATTACCTCTGCTGCTGCTGGATATTCCTGCTACTATAACACATTACCTCTGCTGCTGCTGCATATTCCTGCTACTACCATACATTACCTCTGCTTCTGCTGCATACTCCCTCCTGCTACTACCACACATTACCTCTGCTGCTGCTGCATATTCCTGCTACTATAACACATTACCTCTGCTTCTGCTGCATACTCCTGCTACTACCACACATTACCTCTGCTGCTGCTGCATATTCCTACTACTACCATACATTACCTCTGATGCTGCTGCATATTCCTGCTACTACCATACATTACCTCTGCTGCTGCTGCATATTCCTGCTACTACCATACATTACCTCTGCTGCTGCTGCATATTCCTGCTACTACCACACATTACCTCTGCTGCTGCTGCATATTCCTGCTACTATAACACATTACCTCTGCTGCTGCTGCATATTCCTGCTACTACCATACATTACCTCTGCTGCTGCTGCATATTCCTGCTACTACCACACATTACCTCTGCTGCTGCTGCATATTCCTGCTACTACCACACATTACCTCTGCTTCTGCTGCATACTCCTGCTACTACCACACATTACCTCTGCTGCTGCTGCATATTCCTACTACTACCATACATTACCTCTGATGCTGCTGCATATTCCTGCTACTACCATACATTACCTCTGCTGCTGCTGCATATTCCTGCTACTACCATACATTACCTCTGCTGCTGCTGCATATTCCTGCTACTACCACACATTACCTCTGCTGCTGCTGCATATTCCTGCTACTATAACACATTACCTCTGCTGCTGCTGCATATTCCTGCTACTACCATACATTACCTCTGCTGCTGCATATTCCTGTTACTACCACCATACATTACCTCTGCTGCTGCATATTCCTGCTACTACCACACATTACCTCTGCTGCTGCATATTCCTGCTACTACCACACATTACCTCTACTGCTGCATATTCCTGCTACTACCACACATTACCTCTGCTGCTGCATAGTCCTGCTACTACCATACATTACCTCTGCTGTTGCATATTCCTGCTTCTACTACCATACATTACCTCTGCTGCTGCATATTCCTGCTTCTACTACCATACATTACCTCTGCTGCTGCATATTCCTGCTTCTACTACCATACATTACCTATGCTGCTGCTGCATATTCCTGCTTCTACTGCCACCACACATTACCTCTGCTGCATATTTCTGCTACTACCAAACATTACCTCTGCTGCTGCATATTCCTGCTACCACCGTACATTACCTCTGCTGCTGCTGCATTTTCCTGCTACTACCAAACATATCTCTGCTGCTGCATATTCCTGCTACCACCATACATTACCTCTGCTGCTGTTGCATATTCCTGCTTCTTCTACCATACATTACCTCTGCTGCTGTTGCATAATCCTGCTACTGCCACCACACATAACCTCTGCTGCGTATTCCTGCTACTACCACCACACATTACCTCTGCTGCTGCTGCATATTCCTGCAACTACCATACATCACCTCTGCTGTTGCATATTCCTGCTACCACCATACATTACCTCTGCTGCTGTGGCATATTCCTGCTACTACCACCGCACATTACCTCTGCTGGATATTCCTGCTACGACTACTATACATTACCTCTGCTGCTGCTGCATATTCCTGCTTCTACTACTACCACCATACATGACCTCTCCTTCTGCATATTCCTGCTTCTACTACTACCACCATACATTATCTCTGCCGCATATTCCTGCTTCTACTACTACCACTATACATTACCTAATATGCTGTTGCATATTCCTGCTTCTACTACCATGCATTACCTCTGCTGTTGCATAGTCCTGCTACTACTACAATACATTACCTCTGCTTTTGCATAGTCCTGCTACTACCATACATTAACTCTGCTGTTGCATATTCCTGCTTCTACTACCACACATTACCTCTGCTGCTGTTGCATAGTCCTGCTTCTACTACTACCACCATACATTACCTCTGCTGTTGCATATTCCTGCTTCTACTACCATGCATTACTTCTGCTGTTGCATAGTCCTGCTACTACCATACATTACCTCTGCTGCTGCATATTCCTGCTTCTACTACCATACATCACCTCTGCTGCTGCATATTCCTGTTTCTACTACCATGCATTACCTCTGCTGTTGCATAGTCCTGCTACTACCATACATTACCTCTTCTGTTAATATTCCTGCTTCTACTACCACACATTACCTCTGCTGTTGCATATTCCTGCTTCTACTACCATGCATTACCTCTGCTGTTGCATAGTCCTGCTACTACCATACATTACCTCTGCTGCTGTTGCATATTCCTGCTTCTACTACCATACATTACCACTGCTGCTGTTGCATATTCCTGCTACTACTACAATACATAACCTCTGCTGCTGCATATTCCTGCTACTACCACCATAGATTACCTCTGCTGCTGTTGCACATTCCTGCTGCTATTACCAAACATTACCTCTGCTGCATGTTCCCTCTTCGGCTCCTACCTATACATATGACCACTGCTGCTGCATATTCCTTCAACTACCACCATGTATTATCTAAGAGGGCAAACATATCGTGGTTCATCAAAATCATATGTGCCCTAGGGTCATATGACGTCACGAGACAACAGTGTATTGTTTCCGTCATCCGGAAGGCATTGTTGACGTCATTCGAATTTTGTGACGTGAGGTCGGAATGACGTCCCACTATAAACAACGTCATAGCTGTTGACGTCATTCGACAAATTGTGGTTCCGCTGTTGTTGCGACTGGCTGTCCTGATAGGTGATTAAAATTCGTCTCTTTATGTAGACATCTTCTTCGGTAATAAATATAACACTATATTTATGTTCATGTCATACTATGTTTACGACCCTCGTGACCTGAATTTAGTCACTCTTGTCGTAAACATAGTATGACATGAACACTCACATAATATTCTCTATATATTACCTCAGCTGTAACTACATAGTCCTGTTATTACCAATATTACCTGCTACATATTCCTGTTAGTGATACTCTAATTCACTTCTACTTTATTACAATA